GTTTTCGACTTTATATGCTTTTGGCTCAACATATGGATCCAGTTCTGTATTTTTAGAAAATAATAAGGACTCATATTACAAGGCTTATGTATCCCTTGTGTTTTAATTATATGCATGTCATATGAAGAATATATATTGGAATAAATTGTAATTCATTTCAATAGTTTAAAATCTATGGCTAACGTGAAAGTTTTTTCTATTCTAAAATGGCATTTCTGTTTTAACTGTGGCAGGAAAGTTCTTTCATAAACACGCACACACACACACACACAAGAATAGGGATCTTACAAACAGTATATGCATGGTAACAAGTAAAGATGTTTCATTACAAGGATTTGTTATCGAAATGAAATCTCAAGTACGCATTTGATACTTTAGCGGCTAATTTTCGACTATTTATATATGTAGGGGCAGAAATTTCAATTAAAATTTGCTGAAAATTAGGAAAGAAGACAAAGTGTTGAATAAAAAATACGATAAATATTAATTTTTATTTTCCCTCAAATATAAAACCAAAAAAATGACAACTTTTTGTCTCCCAGAAGTGTTTTTTTAATTATTTTTTCATGGGCAAGTAACAGTCCTTTATCATTCCCATTATCAGACTAGAGATATCTTTATTCTGAACGTACGTACGTCTGCATAAAACCTTTTTTGTTCAATGCTCTATACCAAGTAACCAGAAAACAAGAAATGAGCGAGGTCGTTGAAATATTTAATCAATAATTATAGAAGAATGCCGCCATTTCAAAAAGACGAGAGAATGATTTGATTTGGCACAATTAAATCGTTCAATCACTGACTTGAAATCATGAAAGTTTGTCCACACAATTCATCAGAAAAATTTGTTCCAACACATCGTTTACACGTATATTTAGGTATATGTCAACTATGAGTGGAAGTTAGTTTAATGTGCCTGTTATGTAAGTATATGTCTAAAGAAACTGTTAAATCTAATTTATTTCAATACTTTAAAGCATTGGCTTAACGTGTAAGTTATTTTGTTCACTTCCGTGTTTCTTCCCGTTTCTATTCTCCCATAATTAAATGACACCGACAAGAAAGTCTATATACATTTATATATGTATGGATATGTATATATAAACACACGCACACGTGTATAGACACGCACATAGTTGCTTGGATGAATATGCATGTGTCATGCAAAAATATAGTAAGAAGTAAAGATTATTCCTTGGGGTTTGTTATCAAAATGTGGTCAATCAAGTGCTATTTGCGGATGAAATAGGTAATTGATGTCTGAAATGAACAATGATTGCAACCTTATTTAATCAAGATAAGACATAGTATTTACATTGTGTTGTGTACAAAGTTAATTTATGTTTGTTTCTGTGTTGATCATGTGTCAATATATTCCATGATCTCATATCTCCCCCCATATATTCTCAAATTATATATACAACATTTTGTCTCTTAGAGGACATGCGATCGATAAGTGATCTTCCCATTTTTATTTCGATGAGTTCACGCACCGTCGCTGGATAAATGGGTTATTTTTGGCCGTAGATGAAATGAAGGGTAATGATCAGGGAAGAGGATGAAAATAGGATGCGAAGGAATAGGTGAGGAGAGGCTCCGCGCCAATTTATAGCAATCTTCTTTCTTCTTTTTTTTTGGTCCCAGATCTGAATGGATAGCATGGGGCGACGTAGGCGAGCTGTGATTTTAATCACACCTTCAACTTTTAAATCTTCACTTCCCACCAACCAGTACTTAATGCATTGAGCTCCTGATTTTCTCTCTGCAACAAACAATCAAACATGTTGCCTTCTTCCCCTTTACCCTTCCCTTCCCTTCTTCAACTTCTTCCACTTCTCTTTCTTCTATCAGCTCCCTTCCTATCCCTGTGCCTTAGACCAGCTAAAGGTGACCGGAAGCAACCGCCAGGTCCACCGGCCTGGCCGGTTATTGGGAACCTCCACTAGTTGGGTGCTCTCCCGCATCGATTCCTTCAGTCTCTCGCGAAGCGCTATGGACCCATCATGTCCTTGCGACTCGGACAAGTCCCTGCTATTGTCGTCTCTTCTCCTGAAGCTGCCGAGCTTTTCCTCAAGACGCACGACGTCGTTTTTGCAAGCCGCCCAAAGAATCAAGCGTCCGAGTTCCTTTCTTATGGCTCCAAGGGATGTTAGATATTTTATTATAATTATTATTTAGATATATATATATATTAGGAAATTAATAAAATACTCTGAGTGTGACCCTTTCAGTCAAACAAGGCCCAAGCCCAGTAGGGTTAAGCTTTTCAGTCCATATATGTGTTGATAACTCTCTGATGGTGAGAGACACAACAATTGAGTTTACGGCTGAATATTCTGAGAGCGAGTGAAATACCTATCTGCTCCCTTAAGGTTCCTTGACTGGTGAAGGCTAATCCAGTTGCCATCATTGTGCCCTATTCCAGTCAGAAGAGATCTGAACAACTCTTTTCTTCTAACTGTTGTTCTCTTTTACAACTCTATTCCCTTATCTCAGATCCCGAGATAATTCAAGATAAGACAAATGACAAGAGGTACACAAAGATTCTTCCGCTGTATTATTTTATGAGAAGATCTCTTTATTGCTTTATTTATTTGTATTGTGAATCTGTCTTACACGTGGCATCAGAGCCTTCTTTAATTATTCTCTGCCTCTTTATTTTCTTTATCTGGGATGATCTGAGCATAAAATGGAATACAATGTTTTACCGTTGTGACTCACATCGGGTTCCATTAGCAAGATCAAAGATAATTATTTTATACTGCAATTTATTCTAATTGAAAATTAAATCCAGTTCTATATGTTCTATATTTTTCACATTTTCGGATGAATGGGACGCGAGGAGATGAATAATTGTTCCTCCAATGATCGCCGTCACCGACTCCATCACCATTTGGGGACCCGAATCATTGCGTTTTATGCTTTATTTGTTCAAAGGTTAAATTTTATCTACGTTTTTGTTTCCTGTTGATTCGGTACATGTCAAAGAGGTGTGTTTTGGACATTTGGGACGGAAAAGAAGAGGACAATCAACTCTTCGATGATCACCGTCGCCACCTTCGTCGGACTTGGGAGGAACCGAAAACGCTCTTTTTCATTCTTCCTTTTTATTTCGTTTTTTTGGCCCCTTTTACCATTTAAATCTCGTTCCATGTTGTTTTTTGTGAATTGCGCCAAGAGAAACAGAGAAAAATGGCGTCTTTTGGCCAGAAAATTGCGCTTTTAACGCAGGGAAACGGACCAGGGCCGCCGGAAAAAATGGCAGAATCTGGCGGCCATGAAGGGGGTGCGAAACGGGTCAAAACCGGGTCAGGAGTCGGGTTAACCTAACCCGACTCCATGAGGGAGAAGACCCACATTCTAAAACGGCGTCGTTTCAGGCTTAAGTGAAACTCACCGTTTCACTTACTCAGATTTTGGGCCGCGTTTCGGGCTTTATTAAAAAAAAATTGTGTTTGGACCGAATGGGATTTCTGGGTTTGTAATCATATTTTTTTTTCCTTCTGAATTTCAAACTGGGCCGAGGATTTGTTTTTTGTACAGAAATAAAAAATTTTGTTTGTTTGTTTTGTTGCTGTCTGGGCCCTTCCTGTTTGGGCCTACTGTTTTTTAATAAAAAGGGGGCATTTTGCACAGTGATGCTGCAGAACCTTTTGGGCCTCGATTTTGGGCTTTTTTGTACAGAATTAATTTTTTTCCTCTCTGTTTGCTATCTGGGCTGCACTGTGCGTCTTGGGCTTGCTGTTTTTGCACAGAAATCAGTTTTTGGTCACTGTTTGGTTACTGGGCTTCTGTTTTGGGCCAGAACAACTATTTTGTTATCTTAGAATGTTCCTTTTGGGCCTATTTTGATTAAACTCTGTTTAGCCCATTTATTTTTATTTTCCAGAATAAGTTCATGTTAAATAAATAATTAATTGCAAGTTATTTATTTATTTGAAAAAAATAGTTTTCACATGTAATTTATTCTATGCAAATATTTGAATTGTTTAAATAAAGATAAAAGTTAATCTTAGCTATTTCATATCTTGTGTAAATTTGCAAAATTGTTTATTGTAAAATTGTTTATTTGCCTAAATGTTTGGATACTAAATTTTGGGCAATTTGGTTATTTACTTGAATTTTGCAATGTTCATTTTTAGAAGAAATATGCTGAGGTTAATATTTAAACAATTATTTGGATGCATAAAAATAGTGGGAGAATTTAGTTCAGTTATTTACTTGTTAATTAAATTAATTGCTTAAATTCTCCATTGAGATGTGCATATGCTGGACTTAAATGCACTTGTATGATATTTGTGATTAGCATGTTTCTTTAAGGAGTAGCCACAGCATCCTTTATCTATTGCATGCGATATAAATCACATAATGGACTTATAAAATATCAATTGTAATTAAATATGCATTCATAATTGGTCTTTGCTCACAGGTAGATAATTATCAATGTATATTTAATTAGGGTGGGATAGAATTGCCTTGTATTTTCTAAGTAGCCCACAGATATTAGGAAATATAAATGCGTTCTAGTTCCATCAATATGAGATAAATACATGCTATGCTAATTTCTTTGCCCACAGGAAGAACTTAGTGATACATATTTATAATTGTATGCTTTATTAATGTTTTAAGCATACAAGGCACAGTTATTGTGATTGTCTCTATTTATTTGGAAGTTTGACTGATTCTCTAATAATTGCAGCTGCATTTACTGTCCCTAACATTGTTGCTAATGCTAGTAACAAAATTATACTTGATGGTACTAACTACCCTGATTAGAGGGAAGACATTGCTTTACATCTCGGTTGTCTGAACATGGACTATGTCCTGGAAACTGAAAGGCCTCCCAAACCAGCTGATGGCTCGACTGACAAAGAGGCCAAAGAGTATTATGAATCCTGGGAGAAAAACAATCGCCTTACTCTCCTGTTGATCAAAACAAGGATTGCTAGGAGCATTCGGGGAGCAATCCCTAAATGCGAAACTGCTAAATAATACCTGGAAGCTGTGGACAAACAGTTCAAACCGACAGACAAGCAGATGGGGGGCACCATTATGTCGGAATTATGTGCCATGAGGCTTACAGGTATAGGCGGTACTAGGCAGCATATAATGAAGATGAGAGATTTATCCTCTCAGTTGAAATCCTTCGATATGGAGCCTACTGAGCAATTCCTGGTGCAGTTAATCCTGAACTCCCTTCCTCCTCAGTTTGATGCCTTTAAAGTATCTTACAACACATATAGGGAGAAATGGTCAGTTGATGAATTGCTGTCCATGTGTGTGCAAGAAGAAACTAGGCTGTTGATGAGTGGAAAGGGTGCACCTAAGGAAGCTCATCTGGGAGAAAGCTCCAATAGGGGTGGCAGTAAGAAGGGAAATAAGGATGACAAGAAGAAAAGAAAGAGAAGAATCCCTCCTGCCACTGCCTTAAATAAGAAGGATGCCAAATGCTTCTTCTGCAAGAAGAAGGGGCACATGAAGAATGAGTGCTCCAAGAGGAAGGCATGGCTTGAACGTAAAGGTGTGTTTACTTCTCATGTTACCTTAGAATCTCATGCTATTAATGTTGATGATGACACTTGGTGGATTGATACTGGTTCAATGATCCACATTTCCACAACCATGCAGGGCTTCTTAACAAGCAGGCCACCACATCCGAGTGAGGAATGGGTTCTATCAGGCAGCAGGAACCCAGACCGTGTGGAGTTGGTTGGGACTTATCATTTTTTTTGAATAATACTCATGTAGACCTTTTTGAGACTTTTTATATTCCGACATACATGAGGAACTTAATTTCCATTTCAAAATTAATTCCGTTGGACTATGGTTTATGTCTTGAGAAGGGCTCTATGTTTTGAGCAGACATCATGTTAAGATTGCAGACATTGCAATGATTGATAATTTATTTAAAATTATTCGTGATCCTGTTCAATCTTTTAATATTTCGCGTGGTATTAAACGAAGTGTCATCAATGAGAATTCTATTAGCTTGTGGCATAGGAGATTGGGACATATCTCCATTGATAGAATCAAAAGGTTAACTAAGGAGGAAATTCTTCCACCCTTAGACCATTCAGAATTTGATTCTTGCGTGGACTGCATAAGGGGAAAGCAGACCACCAAGTCACAAAAGGGAGCTAAAAGAAGTTCTGAATTGCTTGAGATTATACATACCGATATTTGCTGCCCTGATTTAACCGCACACGGTCAAAAGTATTTTATCACCTTTATCGATGATTACTCGCGCTACACGTATATCTATTTGCTTTATAATAAAGTGAGGCACTAGATGCCTTTAAGGAATATAAAGCAGAGGTAGAAAAACAAATTGGGAAACCAATTAAGATTGTAAGATCTGATAGAGGTGGTGAATACTATGGTAGGTACACCAATGAAGGACAAGCACCTGGTCCTTTTGCAGAATTTCTTCGAGAGCAAGGTATAGTTGCTCAATATACCATGCCTGGCTCACCAGACATGAATGGTGTAGCTGAAAGAAGAAATAGGACCTTGCTGGACATGGTTAGGAGCATGATGAGTAGCTCCAAACTACCAATTTCTCTATGGAAAGAAGCACTCAAGACAGCTGTATACATTCTAAACAGGGTTCCAACAAAGGCAGTGCCTAAAACACCCTTTGAAATCTGGAAAGGTTGGAAACCCAGTTTGAATCATTTAAGGGTATGGGGCTGTCCTGCAGAAGTAAGAGTGTACAACCCACAGGAAAAGAAATTGGACCCTAAGACTATTAGGGCCTACTTTGTAGGCTATGCAGAAAAGTCTAAGGGTTATAAGTTTTACTGTCCGCCTCCTTCAAAACGATTTGTGGAATCTAGGAATGCTAAGTTTCTTGAGAATGATGTGATTAGTGGGAGTGATCAGATAGGAATTGATCACATAGAAGAGACCACTAGCACAAATGGTGAGGGAACATCAATTGTCAATGACTCTTCTTTAGTTAGAGCTGTCATACAACATGATGTGGATCCCATAACTCAAGTTGATGATGCTAGACATCAGGAACATATGCAAGCTGACCAACCTGTCACAGAAGTAGAACCACCACAGAATGTGACAGAGGATGTTCCTGATGAGCAACCTCAGCCAACTCAAGAAGTTGAACTGAGGAGGTCAACTAGAGAGAGAAAGCCGGCATTGCCTAGTGACTACGTTGTGTACTTCACTGAAATTGACTGTGATGTTAGTATTGAAAATGATCCTTTGACCTTTACTCAAGCCATGAAGAATGAGAATTGCAAGTTGTGGCATGATGCCATGGTCGAGGAAATGAACTCTATGGCAAACAACCATGTATGGGAGCTTGTAGAGTTACCTAGTGGGTCTAAAGCCATTGGCTGTAAGTGGGTTTACAAAACCAAAAGAGACTCACAAGGTAACATTGATCGTTACAAAGCAAGGTTGGTTGCCAAGGGTTTTACGCAAGTGGAAGGAATCGACTACAGAGAAACATTTTCTCCTGTATCAAAGAAGGATTCATTCCGCATTATCATGGCATTAGTTGCACATTTTGATATGGAATTGCATCAAATGGATGTTAAAACTGCATTTCTCAATGGTGATCTTGACGAAGAGGTCTATATGAAGCAGCCTGAGGGATTCATTGCGAAAGGCAAAGAAAACTTGGTATGCAAGCTAAAGAAATCAATATATGGTTTAAAGCAAGCCTCACGACAGTGGTACTTGAAGTTCCATGAGGTGATCACATCATTTGGTTTCGATGAGAACATCATGGATGAATGTATATACCACAAGGTTAGTGGGAGCAATATCATATTTTTGATTTTATATGTCGATGACATATTACTTGCAACCAACGATCTGGGACTATTGCACGAGGTAAAACAGTTTCTGTTTAAGAACTTTGATATGAAAGATATGGGTGAGGCATCTTATGTCATTGGCATTAAGATCCATAGGGATAGGACTCAAGGTCTTTTAGGCCTGTCTCAAGAAACCTATATAAACAAAGTTCTTGAACGATTCTGGATGAAGAACTGTTCAACCAACGTGACTCCTTTAGAGAAAGGAGACAAATTCAGTCTAGATCAGTGTCCTAAAACCAAGCTCAAGAAAAAGCAAATGGAAAGGATCCCATATGCCTCAGCAGTAGGAAGTTTAATGTATGCACAGGTTTGCACTAGACCTGATATAGCTTTTGCTGTGGGCATGCTGGGAAGGTACCAAAGTAATCCTGGTGAGGCGCATTGGACAGCTGCAAAGAAAGTGTTTAGATACCTACAAGGGACTAAACACTACATGCTTACATATAAGAGGACAGAGAATCTAGAAGTGACTGTTACTCAGACTCTGATTGGGAGGATGTTTGGACACAAATAAGTCTACGACTGGTTATATCTTCCTACTAGCAGAAGGAGCCATATCATGGAAGAGTACGAAACAAACTCTAACAGCTTCTTCTACTGGTGATGCTGAGTACATTGCGTGTTTTGAGGCAAGTTCACAAGCGATCTGGATAAAGAATTTCATTGCTGGGCTTAAGATTGTTGATTCGATCTCTAGGCCGATCAGAATGTATTGTGATAACACCGCTGCAGTGGCCATAGCCAACAACAAGAGGAATAAGAGTCGAAGTAAGTTTGTCGAATTGAAATTCCTATGCTTGAAAGAAAGGGTTATGGATGGCCAAATTTCAGTTGAATACATCGGTACAAAGGAAATGCTAGCTGATCCTTTGACTAAAGGGTTGAAACCGAATGACTTTGTTTCACACGTACCTCACATGGGACTTCGTCCTCCAATTGATTAGTTGAGGTATGAGCAATGAAATTTATGGTTTGTCATCTCTTGTTATGATTGTATATACATTTGTGTTTTTGAGGTTGATAAACATAAAGTAGGAACCGAACAAAATTGAGTTTGTTCATAAAGGTATACCCATTAAGTAAGGATGCTGCTTGTGATGCATGGAAGATAATACCCGACTTAAGGGGACTTGTCGCCATGATTCTTGCAGTATAGCCTTAGGTTACTGAGGCACGGCAATTGACATACGTATAAGGGCCAAGTGGGAGAATGTTAGATATTTTATTATAATTATTATTTAGATCATATACATTAGGAAATTAATAAAATACTCTGAGTGTGGCCCTTTCAGTCAAACAAGGTCCAAGCCCAGTAGGGTTAAGCTTTTCAGTCCATATATGTGTTGATAACTCTCTGATGGTGAGAAACACAACAATTGAGTTTACGGCTGAATATTCTGAGAGCGAGTGAAATACCTATATGCTCCCTTGAGGTTCCCTGACTGGTGACGGCTAATCCAGTTGCCATCATTGTGCCCTATTCCAGTCAGAAGAGACCTGAACAACTCTTTTCTTCTAACTGTTGTTCTCTTTTACAGCTCTATTCCCTTATCTCAGATCCCGAGATAATTCAAGATAAGACAAATGGCAAGAGGTACACAAAGATTCTTCCGCTGTATTATTTTATGAGAAGATTCACATCTCTTTATTGCTTTATTTATTTGTATTGTGAATCTGTCTTACAAGGGAATGAATTTCTCTGATTATGGCCCTTGTTGGCGCAACATGAGGAAGCTATGTACTTTGCAACTTTTTAGCGCATCGAAATTGCAGATGTTTGCTCCCTTAAGAAGGGAGGAGTTGGGACAGGCGGTGAAGTTTATTGGAAAATCCGCGGCGGCGCGTGAGGTGGTGGATCTGACGGAGAAGGTGGGGCGGCTTGTAGAAGATATAATGTATAAAATGATATTTGGAAGCACCAGGGACGATAGGTTTGATCTGAAGGGTCTTATTCATGAAGCGCTGAACTTGGTTGGAGCCTTCAATATTGCAGATTTCGTGCCTTTCTTGGCGCCACTTGATATCCAGGTACCGTTATCAACTCAACTGCATATTTACTGTTCTTTTTCCTTCTGATTTATTCAATGTTTAGGTCAGACAAATCTGTCCATGGTGTAGCTATATCCTCTCAAATTTTGGTCCAACAGTGGTAAGAATTGAACAGAGAGTGAGATCGGTATATGGAAATTTAAAATGATTTATGTTTTTGTTAAGAATCGAGATGACAGTTTAATCCAAGGATGGAGTTTGGTGGCGTACTATATCGTAACAGTCCTTAGTTTTTGGTATGGGCGGGCGCGGGCCAAAGCCTTTTCAGCTGCAAAATTTAATAAGCCACACCTTACCGTCACCAAAATCAAATTGAAACCATGCCATGTGGTTAGTTTTAATGGTAGGCCAGGGGCAATTTGTTTTCCCGTTATTATGTTATTATAAGGGGTATAAGGGTTGTTTGGGTGAAAAACAAATCATAAAAGTGATTTTAATTACTAAGTAAGCATTTGAGATCCAAAACTATAGTCAGAAAATGCAGAAGTGTGTTATCCAAAAGACACTGATGAATATTAATATAGACCTTAGGGCCAGAAATCTCTTTGCACATCCAGAAAAAACAGGAATCACACGTCCCTGTATACCATTAAATTCCTGTCGGCATTAGATTATAGAAAGTTAGAGGCTCAAGCTTCTAAAATGCAAAAGAAAATTTGATAACCAGTTTCAATGTTCATTGCGGTGGAATTTACACAATTTAGATATAGTTTTCATGGTCTAAATTTAAAATTTTCAACTGATAATTTTTAAATAAAAAATCATTTTTTTAAAAAGTTATAGTTAAAGATTACATTGATTTTGGATTATCTACCTATTA